TCGAGCACTGAGCTGCACACGTGGATCAAGGAGATCGGCCTGGTGTGGATGACACCCGACGGCGCGAACCACACGCTGCGCATGGTTGCGCGCAAGGGCAAGCAGCAGGAGCGCGGAGACAACGGCTTCCTCTCGCTGCTCGAGATCGACGGCGCGACGATGACGCCTCCCAGCGTCGGCGAGTCGATCGCGACGGAAAGCGGCCTGGTGGTTACCAAAGTCGCGGAGGAGAAAGAGGGGCCGTTCGACGTGGACCAGTTCCAGGTCCGCGTGGTGGGTCTTGGGGAACTCGACGTGCGCGTCCGCGTGGCGCACCCGCTGCTGCAGACGCCCACCGAGGCCGAGACCCACTTCAACGTGGAACTCTCCGACGTCAAGATGACGTCAGCCGTGCACGGCGTGCTGGGGCAGACTTTTAGGAACTCCCCGGAGCAGCTGCAGCGCGCGGTGAAGTACTCGCACTTGGCCGCGCTGCTGCACCACCCCGTGGACGTGGATAAGGCGGAGGGTAAGGGTTTCCTGGACGGCGACGCTGAGGACTACATCTCCTCGTCGATCGTCGCACCGGACTGCAAATACGCCAGCTACGGCTCCGCGTAAGGTCACCCTACAACTGTGACGCCACTCGAGGAGGTTCGTAGAGTGGCTTCCCGCAGACGTCGCGAACAATGTGGGAATTTGGCGGCTTGACCTGGATCTGGAAGGCTGTGGGTGTCTTGTCGACGGAGTGGTAAATTGAGTTTAGGGTGAAAATGGGCGCTGCGATTGTCCGTTTACCCAGCAAACTGCTGCCTTCAAGGCAAATAAGGGCGCGGACCACCACACCTATTTGTGCAATTGGGTAATTTTTAATTCTATTTATTTATAACATTGATCGCAACCACAAGTTCAGAACAATGACTACGCATTGTTCTCTTAACCCATCCTAGTAGGCTGGATTGTTTTCCTACTAGGACCATAAGTAGTCCTCGTGGAATTTCAACATTACTGACCTGTAAGAGCACAACCATGGCTTGGGCATAGTTCGGCATTGATTCGAGCACATGGATTCGTACTCTTAATACGCGTATTCATAATCGTCAGTTAATGTGAATATCTTGTTAGATGCAAAAAGATTATTCCAGCTTTTGATCAGAGTCTAGCTTGACTGTACCACTAACCTAACCTTTATGATGTTTTTGGGAGCAGACGAAGAAATGTAGGCCAATTCTGGTTTCAGATCACTCCTATGCGCGATCAAATTTGCCGGCCCAAAGCGCGTTCAATCACTTCGTCAGCTCGCGCGCCAAAGCTAGGAATATGGACACGAATAAGTATTTTCGCGGGAAAGCAAGGAAACTTGACGAGGTACTGGTTGGATTTGTTTCGCAGATGCTCAATCCGATTGGGTAAGTAGCTTTGGCAGGGGTACTACTAGCGACCCTGCACTTTGAAGGGGACTACAGTGCCAGTAGCGGGCACTTTCCACCCCTCCGTGCCTCAGACAGGGAAGTTATAGAAACAAGACAGTAGTCTTCCCCACATTCACCTACGGAAACAACACAATTTTGAGTGACACATTTTCGCCAGAGGTTGGCGAAAAGAATTGCAAGCCACGCAAACCAACTTCCACTTCAGCTCGATCATGTTCCCCTGATCGCTAAGTGAGCCTTCTTCGTGATGTTGTTTCCGGAGATATGTTTTTAGTCTGTGCTTTCAAATAGGCATAATAACATACCGTATTCCCCCGGACATACCACCCGCCGAAATAGAGCACCCCCCGGGTGGCTTGTGCGGGGGGGGTGCTATAGCGGACCTCGTTTCTACTATACCCCCCTTTTGGGGTGAATTTTCTATAGCACCCTCCTTTCATACAAAATTTCTAATTATAGCTGTTAGCGAGTACTGCAGAACATCGCGGAAATAACTTCCGCGATGAAATTTCATGGTAGTTTCAATGTAATCTACCGAAATCACCCCCCTCCCTCTTTTACGCTACTGCCACGCTGGAAGATTGTTCACTACCAAGTGGCCAAAAAGGTGCCACTTGGCAATTTCAAGGGGGGTGAAAAGGATCTCGCCAAAACCCACATTCTCGCTTCTAGCTGTGATGGTAATCCAACTTTGAAAACACCCAAGTTGTCTTTGCATCAAAATCCTTACACTAAAAATACCGTATAAAAAGACCCGGGTGCAATGTAGCTTTCTCCGATGACAAGACCCCCCCCCATTTTTTTGTGTAGTTATCATAGCACCCTAGGGTGGTATGTCCGGGGGAATACGGTAACCCAATGGCCACAAAAAGTTTCACTGGTAGGTCCAAGCCCTTATTAGCCTAAAGGCAGCAGTGGGCTGGGTGCACGGCATCAGCAGCACCTAATTCCCTCCTTCCACCAACTTATCACTCAGCCCAGGGGATATCCGACAACCTACCAGGCCAAGCCGCTAGTCTCTCATTCAGAGACACGTCCGCTCCAAACCTTCGTCTGTGGGCGCCACTCACAGCTGAACCTCCTTATGCAGAGCCGTAGCTGGCGTATTTGCAGTCTGGTGTCAAATTATAACATTCGGTAGGCTATAGTGGGGTAGCCCATATGGTGTACACAGTTCTAGGGTTGCATATTTGTATCACTTCCATTCCTTAGTGCATCATTCTCGTTCTCATTTCCTCATGGTATCGAGCAGGTTCCCCCGTGGGAACTGTGCCTAGGGCCCACCACATCGATTTCTCTTTTTTTTTTTCCTGCCCGAAGCGCGCTCCGCCCGAGTCGCGCTCCGGGCTCTTACCTCGTCGAGCCGCCCTAGCGGCTCCTACGCCCTAGCGGCTCTGCCGCCCGTCGGGTCGGCCCCGCCGCCCTTCAGTGCGGCCCCGCCCCCCGTCTCTACGGCCCCGCCGCCCTTCTTAGCGGGCCCCGCCCGTCGCAGCGGCCCCGTCGCCCCGCGCTACGGCCCCGCCGCCCGTCGCAGCAGCCCCGTCGCCCTGCACTGCGGCCCCGCCGCCCGTCTCAGCGGCCCCATTGCCCGTCGCTGCGGCCCCGCCCGTCTCGGCGGCCCCATCGCCCTGCACTGCGGCCCCGCCCTACTCGGCGGCCCCGTCGCCCGTCTCAGCGGCCCCGCCGCACTTCACAGCGGCCCTGCCGCCCTTCTACTCAGCGGCCCCGCCGCCCTACTCAGCGGCCTCTGGCCGCCCTTCTACTGCGGCCCCGCCGCCCTAATCAGTGGCCCCGCCGCCCTTCCACTGCGGCCCCGCCGCCCTTCCACTGCGGCCCCCCCGCCCTAATCAGCGGCCCCGCCCGTCTCAGCGGCCCCGCCGCCCTGCTCGCGGCCCCTGCCGCCCTACTACTGCGGCCCCGCCACCCTACTCAGCGGCCCCGCCGCCCTACTCGCGGCCCCACCGCCCTTCCACTGCGGCCGCGCCGCCCGGGCCGCCCAAGCCGCCCGCGCCGCCCGACCGCCCGAGCCGCCTGAGCCACCCGAGCCGCCCGCGCCACCCGAGCCGTCCGAACCGCCCGAGCTGCCCGAGCCGCCCGAGCCGCCCGAGCCGCCTGCGCAGCTGAGCCGCTAGTACCACGGAGCCGCAGTCGCTGCTGTGCCGTCCGAGCAGCTGTGTTGCTGTACTGCTGAGCTGCCCGACCTGCCCTGTCCGGTGAGAGCAGCGCGTCTGTCACTGTACTGCTAGTCTACTGCTGTCATGGCTACCCCTAGTGTTCTCGCTTTTGACACTGAGGGTCGAGCCATTGACTTTGAGGTTTGGGTAGATGACCTGCAGCTCTTCCTACAGTGCGATAGGGCAGACGGTCTCTCCCTCTTTGACCTCACCTCTGGCGCCTCTCCTGCCCCTGCTGCTGATGCTGACCCCACTGTTCGCTCCCAGTGGGCCACACGTGATGCTGCTGCACGTCTTGCTGTGCGTCGCCACCTGCCTACCACTGAGCGCGCGCACTTTAGTCAGTACAAGAGTGCTCAGACCTTGTACGACGCTGTAGTTGCACGCTACTCTTCCCCTGCCACTACTGCACTGAGCCGCCTCATGCTACCGTACCTCTTCCCTGACCTTGCTGCCTTTCCCACAGTCTCTAACCTCATTACGCACCTCCGCACTACTGACACTCGCTACTGCGCCGCGCTTCCTGCTGAGTTCTGCGCCAAGAACCCCCCCCCCATGTACATCACTCTCTATTATATAGTCACCCGCCTCCCTGACTCCCTTCGGGTAGTCAGGGACCACTTCCTCTCAGTCTGTCCCACCACTCTCACCGTTGACCTCCTCGAGAAGGCCCTCCTAGCAGCGGAGAAGAGCATAGTCGCTGTCGGAGCCTCTCGTGGTGACCCTCGCACCCCCATCTTTGAGGGGTGTTCCCCTTCCCCCCTGTTGCCCTCTGTCGCCTCTGCTGCTGCGGCCGACCTCGTTGGTCTTGAGTCGGTCGGAGCGGCGTCTCCTAGGGAGACGCCGCTCTGGCAAGGGCAAGGGGGGCAAGGGCGCGGGTGGAGCCAGCGGGGGTGGTGGAGGTGGCGGTGGAGGCGGCGGAGGGAGTGGGGGTGGCGGTGGGAGTGGTGGCGGGGGTGGAGGTAGTGGTGGCAGCAGCGGAGGCGGAGGCGGCGGAGGCGGCAGCGGTGGGAGCGGAGGCGGAGGTGGTGGCGGAGGTGGAGGTGGCGGTGGCGGAGGAGGTGGAGCTGGTCGGGGTGGTGCTTCGCAGCGGAGCGGCTCCGGTGGTGGTCAGCGGCAGCAACAGCAGCAGCAGCAGCGTTCTCGGGACATCCCCCCTCCGCAGCAGCTCCGTAAGTGGGACACGCAGCGTCAGCGTGGTGGGGGTTTTGGTCCGTGCACCTACGTCCTTCGCTCCGGCGACCGCGCGGGTGAGCAGTGTGGGGGTGCCCACCCCACCCAGCGCTGCTTTGGCCGCCTGACGGACGCTTGGCGTCAGCAGTTCCCTGAGGCTAGTGAGATCCCCCGCTGGGGAGAGCTGTTTAGGGCAGGTGTAGCTATCTATGTTCTTGAATTTGATGCTATCCTTGCTGCAATGTATGCTGTGACTATTAGTGATGAGGGTGACTGCTACCGGTGTTTCCTGCCCGACGCGGGCATTGGTACTGCTGCGCTAGGTGCTAGTGAGGCTGCTGCTCTAGGTGCCAGCGCGTCTGCGCCCTCAGGTACTGGTGAGGCTGCGCTCTCAGGTACCGCGTCGGCTTCGGCCTCCCTCACCTTCACACTTGACTCGGGGGCTTCTCGCTCCTTCTTTCGAGACCGCACCACTCTCACGCCGCTTGGTCGGCCAGTTGCAGTCTCCCTGGCTGACCCCTCTAAGGGTCCTGTCCTCTCTCACTTCTCCACTGTCCTCCCGTGTCCGGCTGCCCCCTCTGGCACCTTGTGTGGTCTTTACCTCCCCTCGTTCTCGACAAACTTGGTGAGTGGTGCTGACCTGCAGGATGCGGGGGTTCACCAGTTTACTCCTGCGAGTCAGCGGGTGACCCACTGCTCGGATGCTCGCACAGGCCGGCACCTGGCCACGTTGACGCGTCGGCCGGGGTCGAGGCTCTACACCCCGACCACTGAGTCTCCTCCTGTCCCTGCGTCTAGTGAGGTAGCTGTGTCGGGTCAGGTGTTTGCTGCAGCGTCCAGGTCTGGTCCTAACTCTGCCCCCTGCTCGTGTCGCCTCCTGTCTCACGAGACTCTGCTGTGGCACCACCGTCTTGGTCACCCCTCCCTGCCTCGTCTCCGAGGCATTGCTTCCCGTGTCCTTGTCTCTGGTCTTCCCCGGTCCCTCCCTCCCCTTCCTCCAGGGCCTGGTCCTTCCTGTGTCCCTTGTGTCGAGGGGCGGCTCCGGGCTGCCCCTCACTCCTCTCAGTTTCCCCCGACAGAGGCCCCGCTGTAGACGCTTCACATGGACGTGTGCGGCCCAGCCCGCGTCAGTGGACAGGGTCACGAGCGCTACTTCCTACCGGTGGTTGACGACTACTCGCGTTACACCACAGTCTTCCCCTTGCGCAGCAAGGGCGATGTCATTGAGGTGTTGATCGACTGGATCCGCGGAGCTCGTCTCCAGCTCAGGAGGAGCTTCAGCTCGGACTTTCCTGTTCTGCGTCTGCACTCTGACCGAGGCGGAGAGTTCTCCTCTGGCCTTCTGCGAGCCTACTGTCGTGCATGAGGCATCCGCCAGACCATTACGCTTCCGGACTCTCCACGGCAAAATGGGATTGCTGAGCGCCGCATTGGCATGGTCATGGACGTCGCTCGTACGTCCATGATGCATGCGGCTGCCCCCCATTTTCTGTGACCGTTTGCAGTTCGGTACGCGGCGCATCAGATCAACCTTCACCCCAGGGTCTCCATGCCGGAGACCTTCCCAGCTTTGTTGTGGACGGGGAAGGTAGGCGATGCGTCTGCGTTCCGTGTCTGGGGATCTTGGGCATTTGTCAGCGACTTGTCTGCGGACAAGCTGTCCCCTCGTGCTGCTCCTTGTGTCTTCCTCGGCTTCCCCTGATGCGCCAGGGTGGCAGTTCTACCACCCCTCCTCTCGTCGTGTTCTGTCCTCCCAGGACGTCACGTTCGACGAGTCGGTCCCCTACTACCGCCTCTTCCCCTACCGCACTCCTTCCCTCCCCCCGCCGCCGCACTTCCTTGTGCCAGGTCCCCCCCAGGTAGACCCTCTCCCCCCTCAGGGTCTTGCCCCTTCAGGTGTGTCCCAGGTAGACGCAGTTGAGCCGGTCAAGGTTGCTGGTGACTCTGGTACTGCTGCGGGTGCTGAGCCTGGGGGTGCTGACTCTGGGGGTGCTGCACGAGTGGGCGCTGAGCTTGGGGGTACTGCGCCTGGGGGTGCTGAGACTCGGTGTGCTGAGCCTGGGGGTGCTGCGACTGGGGGTGCTGAGCTTGGGGATGCTACGGCTGGGGGTGCTGAGCCTGGGAGTCCTTCGCCTGGGGGTGCTGAGTCTGGAACTGCTGAGCCTGGGGATGCTGGGTCTGGAGCTGCTGAGCCTGGGGGTGCGGAGCCCGCGGCCGCTGGACCTGCTCGTGTGGCGTCTGGCGGTGCTGGGCCTGGTGGTTCTCCGGGTACTTCGTCTCAGCGAGAGCCACTCTCTCCACAGGAGCTGCGCGAGTGGTTTGCCCGGCGCTGGAGCCGTCCTGCTGGAGCTGGTGCTTCTTTGGCTGCTGAGGGTGCTGGTGCCGCCGGCCTCGGAGGTCCTAGTCCTGGGAGTGCTGGAGCTGCTGGTCCTACGAGTGTTACTGGAGTCGTAGCTACTGAGGGTGTTGGCGCTGAGGCTACTGCTGTCAGTCCTGGCGGCGGTCTTGCTGCGGGTGCTGCTGGTGCTGCTGGAGGTCCTGCAGCTGGAGGTGCTGTTGGCGCTGGTGCTGCCGTTGGGGGTGCTGGTGCTGTCCCTGCTGTGTCTGGAGTCGCCGCGCGGCCTCGGCGGTACTTTGTTCTGCTTCTTCAGCAGGTTCTTGGTCTTCCTCCTCCCTTAGAGTGTCCACCGCCTGTCTTGTCACAGTCACAGTTACCGCCGTCCTCCCCACTGCCTGCTCCTTCTCCGTACACTGGTCCTACAGGAGGTCTTGCTGAGCGTCATGAGCCTGCGTCTCGTCCTGCGTCACCTGTTCGTGCTGCTCACACTAGTGGTCGCGGTTCGCGTCAGCGTCCTCCTCCTGTCCCTGGCACGCACCGGATGTCTCTGCGTCCGTCCACTGCTCCTCTGCGTGCCCCTTTGCCCTCTCCTCCTGAGTCCTCTCTTCCTGCGCTTGCCGCCCTCGAGGAGGACTCTCTTCGTGCTGCCAGTCCTATTGTCACGCGTCTCCTTGCTACTGTCATCACTGACCCCTCCTTTGAGTCCACTGCTGCGTCAGCTCTTGTTGCTGAGCTCGTCGACTTTGCTGCTCGCTGTCGTCTCGACTACGCTGCTAGTCTGGTTCCTGAGCCTGCGTCTGTCTGTCCTCCGTCCGTCGGGGGTGAGTGTGCTCTTGGCACAGACGTCCTTGAGGACAGGCAGGAGGAGTTCCAGTGTCTGGCTGCTGCTTCACCTCATCTCGCGTCTTTACTGCTTACCCCTAAGGGAGACCCGGATGCTCTAGACATCCCAACTCCGCGCTCTTACGCAGAGGCTGTAGAGGGTCCCTACTCCTCTCAGTGGCAGGCAGCTATGGATGCAGAGATGGCTTCCTGGAAGTCCACAGGCACCTACGTTGACGCCATTCCCCCTCCTGGGGCGAACATCGTCAGTGGCATGTGGATCTTCAGGGTGAAGCGGCCGCCGGGCTCTCCACCTGTCTTCAATGCGCGGTACATGGCTCGTGGCTTCAGTCAGCGGCAGGGAGTTGACTACTTTCAGACCTTCTCTCCCACCCCGAAGTTGACTTTAGCACTGCTTTCTTGCAGGGTAGCCTGCACCAGGAGATCTGGCTGCGCCGTCCACCTGGCTTTACTGGGACTTTCCCTCCTTGCACCTAGTGGAGCCTCCGACGGCCAGTCTACAGTTTCCGCCAGGCACCGCGCGAGTGGCACGACACACTGAGGACTACGCTTGCGGCTCTTGGGTTTGCTCCTTCTACTGCTGACCCGTCGTTGTTTCTGCGCACCGACACCTCTCTGCCGCCGTTCTACATCCTCGTGTACGTCGACGACTTGGTCTTTGCCACTGCTGACACTGCTGGACTCGCCCACGTGAAGTTCGAGCTGCAGAAGAGACTCACGTGCACAGACCTGGGTGAACTGCGCAGCTACCTTGGCTTGCAGATCACCCGGGACAGCACGCCGCACCATTACCTTGAATCAGTCACACATGGTGCAGCAGGTCCTTCAGCGCTTCAGCTTCACGTACTCCTCGCCTCAGGCCACTCCTCTGTCTTCTCGCCACTCGCTCTCAGCTCTGCTTTCGGATGAGTCCGTAGAGTCGAGTGGCCTGTACCCAGAGCTTGTTGGCTGCCTCATGTACCTGATGACCTGCACACAACCTGACCTAGCATACCCTCTTAGCATTCTTGCACCTGGGAGACACAGACCAGAGCACATGGCTGCGGCGAAGAGGGTGTTGCGCTACTTGTGCAGTACGTCGGGCATGGGGCTAGTGCTTGGAGGGCGCAGTCCAGTGGTCCTCACTGGGCACGCGGACGCTTCTTGGGCTGACGACCAGGCTACGCAGCGGTCGTCACAGGGTTACACCTTCAGTCTTGGTTCCGGCTCTGTTTCGTGGCGGGCTACTCGCTTGTCTTCTGTTCTCGGCTCCAGTTGTGAGGCTGAGATCTACGCCGGGGCCATGGCTGCACAGGAGCTTCGTTGGCTCACCTACCTGCTGACTGACCTCGGAGAGCTGCCTCGTTCTCCTCCAGTGGTGTACGTAGACAACAAGGCCATGCTGGCCTTATGTCGGGAGCAGCGCCTGGAGCACAGAACGAAGCACATTGCACTCCGCTACTTTCTTGCTCATGAGCTGCAGCAGCGTGGTCAGTTGCGACTTGCGTACGTGGCCTCTGAGGCCAACAATGCTGATGTTTTCACCAAGGCACTTCCGCCTTGTGATCATCAGCGCTTCTGTACTCAGCTAGGTCTTGTACCTGTCTTGCCTCACTTGCTCACCTCTTGATCTTACTTGTACTCTTGCATATATATATACCTGCTCTTGCTTGTTTAGTCCTATATATATATGTGCACTCCTGCATGTGAACTGGCCTTATGGCCTTGACCTTGTGCTCGAACTGTGTGGTGACGTTGTGATCCACCCTGAGCTTTGCTTTGCTTTGTTTGACTGGTCTTGTGACCCCTTGTTCTCCCCTACTTTGCCTATGGGGGTGTGTCAAATTATAACATTCTGTAGGCTATAGTGGGGTAGCCCATATGGGGTATACAGTTCTAGGGTTGCATATTTGTATCACTTCCATTCCTTAGTGCATCATTCTCGTTCTCATTTCCTCATCTGGCGCGACGATCGACGAAGAAATATAGTCCTCAACGTCGGCGTCCAGGAATCCCTTGCCCTCCGCCTTATCCACGTCCACGGGGTGGAGCAGCAGCGCCGCCAAGTGCGAGTACTTCACCGTGCGCTGCAGCTGCTCGGGGGAGTTCCTAAAAGTCTGCCCCAGCACGCCGTGCATGGCTGACGTCATCAGCACGTCGGAAAGTTCCACGTTGAAGTGGGTCTCTGCCTCGGTGGGCGTCTGCAGCAGCGGGTGCGCCACGCGCGCGCGCACTTCCAGCTCCCCCAGTCCCACCACGCACACCTGAATCTGATCCACATCGAACGACCCCTCTTTCTCCTCCGCGATTTTGGTAACCACCAGCCCACTTTCCGTTGCAATCAACTTGCCGACGGTCGGCAGGACTGCCGGCTAGCCGCATCGCGAAACTTGGGTTTCTGGTTTTTCAACCGAAAGCCAGTCGTTGACAACTGGAGGGGTAAAACCAATCGTCAACGCCTCGCAAACCTGTCTAGTTGGCCAGTAGGTTCGACATCCCAGTTTTCGGGCGGCTCATTTGCGTGTTGCCAGGTATTTCATCGGAATGTTGGTTGACACCAACCAATCACTGAGACACGGGAGGCGAGCCTCCGGCTTGGCTGAGGTTGGGAAATGCCCCAGTCGCTAGAGAACCAATCGTTTGATTGGAGGTTCTGAGGTGTTGGGGCTTCGACAATGTGGGACGAAGACATCGTATGAGTGACCTGTTAATGAGACATTCAGGCACATGTAGATGTGGCATGTAGAACGGGAATGAATTTCAATTAGATGCTGGTTTTTTTATAGTGGCCATTATTAAATTCAATGCACTTATTAGGTGTGCTATGAACGGTGAGTTACATGTATGTGAAACTTGCGAAGAGAATTTAGCCCGTGAAGTATAAATGATATGAATGTAACAATGTTAATTAGATTATGACATTCAGAGATTGGTACATATAATATGTATATGCTGGACTGTAACCACGTGTTACAGGATTTGTTAAAGGAATTGGCGTGCGAAATGGAAGTGTTAGGATGAGGCACCTCTAGAAATTTTGCAGTGTTGATTGCACGATCGCTGATTGCACCGCGCTGAATGTCTCTGAAAGCATTCAAAATTCACTACACCATTTATTACTCCGCAAAAAATCGAACCTGCGCAGGTTCGATTGCAGGTACGGTGATACAGGGGTTAGGTCCTTATCATGTCGGTGGGCTGGGAGGGAGGGTGGTGCGGATTCGTAGGATTGTAGAGATGCGCGAGAAAATGTACATGTGGCCCAGTTTCCACACGTGTGCACTATTACACTCGCATCAATTTCGGCGATCCAATTTCGATCAGTCACCGCACTGAAAACCTGCTGTTATAGTCTAAAACTTCTTGGCCTTTTTAAAACCCTGCTTTGTGTTAATGATCAATGGACACGATTGTCTCTGTTCAGATTTCAGGCAACGCGCATTACCCAATCACATGAATGTGAAGAAATCGAGGAATGAAGAAGAGAGGAGGTTCACTAGCAAACATTGGGATACATATAGCAAACCCTAAAAGGGTTGTACTCATTATAGAGTACCCCACTGCAGACTAGAGAAACATAATATTCTAACAAACCCCCATAGTCAAAGTGGGGTGTAATCAGCACAACAAGCGAAGCAGAACAAGCTCAGGGTGGATCACAATGTCACCACACATTCTGAGCACAAGTACAAGAAGCAACAGTTTAAAGTTCACAAATGTAAACACAGCTAGAGGCTATCGCAGAGGGCAAGTGTGGAGGAGGAGGGACTATGAGAGGAGAGGAGGTAGTGGGCGGCAGCTGAAGTTGTTGGCACACGGCACAACTGGAGCAGCTGGCACACGGGCAACTAGAGCAACTGGCACACTGGCAACTGGAGCAACTAGCACACGGGCTACTGGAGTAACTGGCTTCACGGCTAACTTTGAGCGGCAGGAGCAACGGACTCACGGGCGATTGGAGCAACGGGCTCAAGGGCGACTGGCGCAACGGGCTCACGGGCGACTGGTGCAACGGTCTCACGGGCAACTGGAGCTGCGGGCTTTACGACGGCCACCCCCTTTAACCTTCCCAAACTATCCCATCCCCATTTCACACACCCCCTACTGCACCCCTAGGTTCACTCACACCCCACCCCCTAGCACCACTCCGTCGACTCCCACACACCCACCAGTTGAACCGAAATGGGTGGGGTTTGGGTCCAAAGATTAACTTCGGACCCTCTAGGGCTCGAGTCAAACTGGTAGTCGTTTGGTTCAACTACGTGTGGAACAAGCAGTTGTAATGGTTTTTTAAATGACACGGCTCGGCACTCATAGACAAAATGAACTGAATGGTTGAACCCACATATATACAGGTTCGAGTCAAACACTTTTTGCACAAACCTACGTAAGTCAATGTGTGCTGTGGGATGGCGCGGAGGAAGTGAGGAAATGAGAATAGTGGTCATGGATGGAGGGACAGCAAGCACACATGATCGACCCAGTTGAGGGACGAGGCGATCATGGTGAGAGGCAGGCATGAGTGAAAACCTCGAGCTTCAGTTGGAGGCAAACAGCTTCATCTTCGACTCTCATTGGCCAAACAGGTTCAAGTCGAACCCTGGCAGACCAGCTTCAAGTCGCACAACCTGTTCGTTGCACACCCAGTTTGTTGCACGCCCAGTTCGTTGCACGCCCAGTTCGTTGCACGCCCAGTTCGTTGCACGCCCAGTTCGTTGCACGCCCAGTTTGTTGCACACCCGGTTCGTTGCACGCCCGGTTCGTTGCACGCCCGGTTCATTGCACACCTGGTTCGTTGCACGCCCGGTTCGTTGCACGCCCGGTTCGTTGCACGCCCGGTTCATTGCACGCCCGGTTCGTTGCACGCCCGGTTCGTTGCACGCCCAGTTCATTGCACGCCTGGTTTGTTGCTCGCCCGGTTCGTTGCTCGCCCAGTTCGTTGCACGCCCGTTTCGTTGCTCGCCCGGTTCGTTGCACGCCCGGTTCGTTGCACGCCCGGTTCGTTGCACGCCCGGTTTGTTGCACGTCCGATTCGTTGCACGCCCAGTTCGTTGCACGCCCAGTTTGTTGCACGCCCAGTTTGTTGCACGCCCAGTTCGTTGCACGCCCAGTTCGTTGCACACCCAGTTCGTTGCACACCCAGTTCGTTGCACACCCAGTTCATTGCACACCCAGTTTGTTGCACACCCAGTTTGTTCCACACCCAGTTCGTCAAGTTTGGGGTTTTCATTGGGCTGGCTTGGCTGTGTGACCATCTACTTGTTTATTTCCTAGAAATCCTAGCTGTCTTGCTTGCGTATGGCATCTAGGTAGTGTGACTAAGGATTCTCCCTCATGGGTTATAGAGTTGACATGATCTTTGATTATGTTTTAAGTTTCTAAGAGGTGCTTTATACAGATGATTGAGTTGCGGAAGCATGGAGATGCCATT